GAATTTTATGTTTAAAATATCGTATTAATTTCAATCTGAAAACGATTTGATTAATTATCATCTACCAAACTTTATGTTATACACTTTTTATGATTTGAATCCCGTTTGACTATAAAAAAGTGAAAAGTGGTAAACAATTTTATCGTCTATCGAGATGAACATGTGCAAGGGTGTAATGCAAGGAAAGTTAATTGCAGTCGTGTATACTCTGCGTACATATTGAAACCAGTTCTCTGTGGGCGGAATTTGTAAACAAGAATAGATGCATCAGTGTTCGTTTAGTATCCTAGTAGTATAAAAGCATTAAATTTGATAATTTTGATAATTCACATAATAGTTTCCTATGACCAGAATATTTCATTGATTTTTTGATGTGAAAGATGGATCCCATGTCAGGCTGTAACATCCGTCTTGTGTTTATATTACCGCCCAGAGACAGTACACTGCAGTACAAAAGATGCGTACACTTCTGAAATAACTTTCCTCGCATTATAACCTTGAACATATGTTAATTTTTTCCATAAATCTTAAAATCATGATATAGGTTTGGGCGCAGCGGCTAAAATAAGCTGAACATTTTATTTGAAAGTTGTATAATTAGTTTTCCTGATTCTGTTCCTCCAGAAATGAACTGATTACTCACCCTAACACTAATTTTTAGAATCTATAGTTTCTGCGACATCAGGTTTCAAATACATAAGTATTCGACAATTATATTGAGGCGAATCTGTTTTGTTGTCAGCTTTACGAATCAGCTGTAAGAATCAGCTGAAATAATCAGCTGGAATAATCAGCTGGAAAAATCAACTGGAAGAATCCGCTGGAAGAATCAGCTATAAGAATCAGCTGTAAGAATCAGCTGGAATAATCAGCTGCAATAATCAGCTGGAAGATTACGCTATAAGAATCAGCTATAAGAATCAGCTGGAAGAATCAGCTGGAATAATCAGCTGGAATAATCAGCTGGAAGAATCCGCTGGAAAAATCAGCTGGAAAAATCAGCTATAAGAATCAGCTGGAATAATCAGCTGGAATAATCAGCTGGAAGAATCAGATGTAAGAATCAGCTGGAATAATCAGCTGGAAGATTACGCTATAAGAATCAGCTATAAGAATCAGCTGGAAGAATCAGCTTAAATAATCAGCTGGATAAATCAGCTATATGAATCAGCTGGAAGAATCAGCTATAAGAATCAGCTGTAAGAATTAGCTGTAAGAATCAGCTGGAAGAATCAGCTTCAAGAATCAGCTGTAAGAATCAGCTAAAATAATCAGCTGGAATAATCAGCTGGAAGAATCAGATGTAAGAATCAGCTGGAATAATCAGCTGGAAGATTACGCTATAAGAATCAGCTATAAGAATCCGCTGGAAGAATCAGCTGGAATAATCAGCTGGAAAAATCAGCTATAAGAATCAGCTGTCCGTAAGAATTAGCTGTAAGAATTAGCTGTAAGAATTAGCTGGAAGAATCAGCTGGAAGAATCAGCTATAAGAATCAGCTGTAAGAATTAGCTGGAAGAATCAGCTGGAAGAATCAGCTTTAAGAATCAGCTAAAATAATCAGCTGTAAGAATCAGCTAAAATAATCAGCTGGAAGAATCAGCTATAAGAATCAGCTGTAAAAATCAGCTGGAAGAATCAGTTGAAAAATGGTCTAATCTTTCCTTGGGCTGTATACAGTTATATAGTCATCACAAAACCATTAAATTGCAGCTTCCGGGTTTAAACTCATCATTTATACCAACCAATTTAAACCATTTTAAGAAAAAGTTCACGAATTTAAAGGTCGATATGATATCAATTCTAAATAATATTACTGATTAGTTATATCTTCTTTATATCCGATGTATCTGTACATTTTTTTTAATCTGCCAAATCATTTTGTTTGAATCTGCGAGCCAAATCATTTTGAATTTGAGCATTTATACATTATTAGGCCTTAAAAAACCGATTTTGAGTTTTCTCACAAAAACAATGATTTTCTTAATAAAATGGACAGCTTTCAAGGCTTTCAAGGCTTTCAAGGCTCCTCTTTAAGGTCATTATTTGTATCGGCTTGAGGCTTTACACTTTGATTATTAATGATCAATTTCAATTCGGGAATTATAAAAGGGACTGTAATCGTAAATTTTTCGAAAACGAAACGATCGTTTTTGAAAACGATTGAAAAACGAAACAAAAAACGATCGTTTAACGATAGTTTTTAATATTATGTTGGTTTTCTGATTTGAAAAGTGTTTAATTTTTGTGAATGCCTCCGTTTTTTGAAAGCAAAGTCACTTTTGCAGAGAAACCACAAATGTAAGTAAAAAGTTAAAAACAAAAATATGGATAGATAATTCATGCTTGATCACACACAAGGTTATAATGCAGGGAAAGTTAATTGCTGTTGCGTATACTCTGCGCTCATATTGAAACCAGTTTTCTCTGGGCGGAATTTGTAAACAAGAACAGATGCAACAGTGTTCGTTTAGTATCGAAGGAGGTTAAACGCAAAGAATTTTGATAATTCACATAAATTTTCCTATGACCAGATATTTCATTGATTTTTTATGTGAAAGATGGATCCCATGTCAGGCTTCGATATCCGGCCGTCTTGTGTTTACATTACCGCCCAGAGACAGTACACTGCAGTACAAAAGATGCATACACCTCTGAAATAACTTTCCTTACATTAAATCCTTTGATCAGACAAAGAGTAGAAAACACGGTAAACTAGAGGTCCTGCAGGTTAAAAGTACACTCGTGTATGCCTGATCCAATCAGGATTAAGACACGTGTTTGCTGTCTATTCTGAAACAATAGAAATAGTATGACGGAAACATCTATCTTCCTATCTACCTCATTATCCAATTAGAGATAAATCCTTATCGCTATGGACTTTTTTAAACCACTTTCCATGAATCTCTCCTTCTATCAAGCCTGGAACTTGGATCTGCTTGCTTTGGGATTATAAATGGAAATATTTTATTCTTCTGAAACTTTACTGAGTATTGCAACTATTGTCTTTAGAACTAATTTTTACTAATATGTAGATTTTTCGTATTGAAATTTATTTGATGGGCGATGAATTATAATCATAATTATGAAGGGGCGGTAAAGAATCATTATTTTTAAATTAATAGTTCCGGAAATGACAAAGAACCGGTTCTTGCTTCAGTACATTATAGTTTATACTAAAGGATTATTATATTAACAGAGATAGGAACTTTTGACTGGATGTAATGAGTTATCCCTATCACGATGGTGGTCGTGTGTGGGGGTGGGAGGTTCTCTACCCACCCCTCTGTGAATTTTTCTCCTCCATAACTCAAAAACGGCGTTCACTAGAGCCACTAGAGCGCCCAAACTTCTGCACTTTTTCAACTTCCTAATGCCATTTTTTCATGCATTTTTTTCTAACTAAGCTCTCTGGGCGCTTCGCGCCCATCTTCTATTTCAATTAAACATTTTACTTTATGTACATTTTGGAGGAGGCTAATTTTTGAAATTTTGATCATCCAGAAACCTTTCTTGGTGTTATGTGAGGTCCCACACAAAATTTGGGCTCGATCGGTTCAGCCGTTCTGACGTTTTTTGATTACAAACAAACAAACAGACAGACAGACAAGCAAAGTATATGTAAGTATAGATAGGTAGATGGCTATGTATAAGGTATAAGTATATTTAAGTATAGATAGATAGATAGATAGCTAGGTAAAGGGTAAAAAATATGTGAGTATAGTTAGAAAGCTAGCTAGGTATAGGGCTTGAATATATGAAAGTATAGATAAATAGATAGACAGCTAGGTATAGGGTATATGTATATAAGTATAGACAAAATAGATATATAGATGGTATAGGGTATATGTATATGTAAATATAGATGACTAGATAGATAGCTAGGAATATGGTATAAGTATATGTAAGTATAAATAAATAGATAGATAGCTAGGTATAGGGTATAAGTATATGTAAGTATAGATAAATAGATAGATAGCTAGGAATATGGTATTTAAGTATATGTAAGTATGGATAAATAGATAGATAGCTAGGAATATGGTATAAGTATATGTAAGTATAGATAAATAGATAGATAGCTAGGAAAAGGGTATAAGTATATGTAAGTATAGATAAATAGATAGATAGCTAGGTATAGGGTATATGTATAAGTAAGTATAGGTATAATGGTTCAGTAGTAGAGAGCCCAGCGGTTATACTAGATACTGCAGCAGCGCTAGGGTGTGATTCTGTGTTTAGTTAAGAAATCGACTAAATAAATCTAAAATTTGTTACTCAATAGCTACTTTATTAAGCTAGCTATAATATCTTAAAGGGACTGTAAGCGTGATTTCAAATGACCCTTTATGCAAAGTTGACAATGCCCGATTCACACCGGCACCCTTAAAGCACTATTTGATTTAGTATAAATTAGATATAGAAGATAAATCTGAAAACTGATAAATTCAAATTGTGGTTTCTCTACTAAAGTGACCTGCGCATTTCTATTGCGGGAAATATATAGAAATTATTAGATCTTTTCAAGTTAAAACAAGGCAATATCTTCCACATTTTTGATCAAAGGTTTCATGGGTATTGTTGGGAATAGGGCATCGTCATCTTTTCATGGAGGATCACTTGAAATTGCACTTACAGTCCCTTTAACGGTACCCCTAACAACTATATCTAAGTTGCACACGCATCCAATTGACCCTTTAGTTAAAGTAAATTCAACCTAAAGTCTGACCGCGTCAACCTTGCTGCACCGGCTAGTCCTATTGAGTGCCTGCTTTGTTTACCCAATGTCCGAGCGATACAGTACAAACTGGGACCGGAAAGGTTGACCTGGATCGGAAATTCAAATGTACTGCGGCTGTTTCTTTGTTTCTTTCATTGTCTTTGCTGCATAAATCCAGAAGTCCCTTTTATAGAGAACCCCAATACGAAAATAATCAATTTAAAATTACGAAAAATTATTCCGATATATGTTTCTTTAATTCATAACTTGAATAAAATACATAAAAAGCAGAAAATTGTTTTTCGAAATCAGAAGCAATATATTTTTTTTGTGCGTAGATAAAAGACGAAAATGTTAATGTGGAAACCTCAAATTTTGCTGGTAAGACATTTTTTTGAAAAATAATAATCTTAAAATCTTTTTTAAAAAGCTTTGAATTTCTGTAATCATAAGAATTCCTATTTGCGATATTTACGTATTAAAAAATGTGTAATCCTATTTTAATTGGTTCTGCTTAGGCTTGCACAAATTCAACCATTGATCCTATTAGCTTTTCAAAAAATTATTATTCCAATTTTTAGTTTTCAATACTTTCTCTGTTTTGCGAATAAAAAAAATTATCTTAAAAACAAAAGAAACGCTTTGTACATTTTGAGTAGTAAAGTTTTTAATTGTCATTTTGCATCTTATTTGGCAAGGGTGTACAAATGTATATTCGAAACTAAGTTATGAAAAAAAAATCAAATAAATGGTGCGTACCCCCCCCCCTCCTGGTGCGTACCCCCCCCCCCTTTGGTCTGCGTCCTTCATATTTAAATATGCAATGTCTAATAATATCGCAAATTTGAAAATGCATATTTAAAAGCATATTTACGTATATATGTATACATTCAAACAATATTTAAAACCTAACCATGCATGTTGCATATTCTTTAGTTTGTTAATTAGACATAGTTTTTTTCTAACGGTCATAATCTGTTTTTTTTCTAACGGTCATGATCTGTTTTAATCTAACGGTCATGATCTGCCCAATATTTTGTGTAATCTTATATAAAGTGTTGCTAATCATTGTTTTAATAAAACTTAAAGGGAGTGTGAGTAAAGGCTTTCTTCAAAAAGTTTTCGATGGTAATCGATACTAATCTTACTTATATAAATATCATTCCTAGTTCTAATAATGGTACCCCGGAAATCGGAATATGTGATTATGAATATTATTTCTAGTTGATGGTGTTGAGTTGTTCAACGGATTATGGAATACCAAATTGTCATTATGAATAAAAATTTTAAACTGACATTAGAGTGCCCCGGAATATGGAATACAAACGTGTTCTTAAATATCATTCCTAGTTCTTGCCAGATTGCCCCGAAATCGGAATATGCAATTATTAATATTATTTCTAGTTGCTGGTGTTGAATTACTGCAAGGGTGCACCAGATTATGGAAAACCAAAGTCTTTATTATAAATTTATTTTAGAGTTAGCAAGGGTGCCCCGGAATATGTGATTATAAATATTATTTCTAGTTGCTGGTGTTGAATTGTTGCAAGGGTGCACCGGATTATGGAAAACCAAAATGTCATTATGAATATGACACAGTTTATGATACAGTCTACCACACAGAATATTCAAAGGTAACCCCTACCCCCCTCACCCCTGTCAACCCGATTCATATTCACTATATAGTACCCATAACAGCTTCTATATATAAATTTACCTTGGCTGGGTGGGTGTTTGTTTGTATCCAATAAATGTCAAAACGGCTGAAGTATGCACGCGACACCAGTGAAGGTTTATGAATGATCAAAATTTTAAAAATTTGTGTTTAAAAGTTTTTTTTTGTATAATTTTGAAATTGTGCAAAAAATATTATGAAACCCGCTTTTTGAAGAGAAGCCACAATGAAGAGTTAAAATAGAAGATGGGCGCGAAGCGCTCTTAAGGTCTAGTTACCTGAACAACGATAAATAAGTTATCATTGTTTACCTATCTCTTAATCTGGCAATTCTATTCCTTGCGTTGCATAAGTACGCAAACCACTATTTTAGATAAACCAGAATTGAAAATTACCAATTTTTAGACAGAAAACCTAGAAATTATTCGTAATTTTAGTCTGACAAAGGAGGGTGGACGTTGTAAGGGGTGTCTCTATAAATTAGGATTAACATATAATTAAGTTCACAGTCCCTTTAACGGACAGAATTTAAGAGTACATATTGGCAAAATGTAAAACATGATTATTTTATTCATTTTTCGAATCCGTGTATAGTGAATTTAAAATTATATTGAAATCTTTTTTTAGATCTAAATATTTATTTTGTAGCAGAGATTAAGATATTACAATTGTATTACAAGTTTACAACCTTCATAAATGGAAAAACTACATTATTATTTTCTATATAAATGATTCATATGATAGACACAGATTAGACTTTGAATGCCAGTGCAATATTTCGCAGCTGACTCCCTCGTCATCCATTGCTGAGAAACAACAGAACTTCCTGTAGTAAATAACCAACTGATATTTAATTTGGTTGTCTACTTTTTCATATGCTCTAATTGCGTTGTGTCTACAGTCTAACTGGGCAAACTGTACAAGCTTTTTCTTCACAGAAAGTAAAAACAGGGTTTGCAATGTTCACAGGTGGTTTTAGTTAGATTTCAAGTTCAGTTTCAGATTCTGGACCAGCTTCAGTCTCAAGTTCAGGTTCAGGCGCAGACTCAGTCTCAGGTTCAGGTTCAGGCGCAGACTCAGTCTCAGGTTCAGGTTCAGGGGCAGACTCAGAATCAGGTTCTGGTTCAGGCGCAGACTCAGTCTCAGGTTCAGGTTCAGGTTCAGGCGCAGACTCAGGATCAAGTTCAGATCCATCTTTAGTCCACAGGTTAAGCTTGATATCCAGTCCTAGATCCACTCCTTCCCTGTACAACTCCAAGAGTTTATGTGTAATTCTCATTGTTTGTGTTTTAAACTCCCCGCCATAGCAACAGCTAGCTGGGTCAGCTGGTATCAGGCTAGGAGAGAGAGAGTCACAGAGATGTGTTGTTTGCCAGCAGGGTTAGGGGGAGACTGATTGAAATCTTAAAATGATTTTTGGGAAATAAAAATTAGAATCTTTTCCTTGAACCTTAAAGTTTATTTTTCCAAGAAAGACGTTTTTCAACACACTTTATGTACATTTGGTCCTTATCCCAGAGAACTGTGACTTTCGAACACAAAATGGCATATTGAACGTTTTAAACTTTTTTTGCAAAAAGTTACTGTACTGTAATGTAATATCGTGTACAAAGAGCACCAAATTTAATAAACTAATTATCATTAAAATAACAGTTCTCTTTATAGGCAATACAATTCAAACATAAACCACTGTTTACAACTTTAAAAGTTAGGACAAACGATGACATCTAATACTTTACAAAAGCATGAGAATTATTTCACCTTTTGGATTTATAAATTAAAAAATATCTAAACCTTCGAAAATTTTATTTTTATTATAAAAATTTCATTAGTTTCTTAAAGGCCGAAACAATAGTTTTGATATTTAGTTCTTGAATAAAGAAATTTCCAATCCTAGGATTCTATGCTGCGTTGATTAAAGACGAATGTTATCATATTTTTCTGAGATCTGTCACTCACGCACAGTGATCCGAAAGTTCGCAGCTTTCATACAAAAAGCGATGAGAATTTTGCCAAATACATGTGAATGTATATGCACAACATGCACAACTTATCAGTTGTCCATAGCAGTCTGAATCTATGTGCGCGTGAAACGCTTTAGGACATAAAAATGCACTTGCAGATTTAATTAAACTACAACGATTGCAAGAAGTGATTAGGGTTTGCTTTATCTTACGTTGAAAACCAGAAAACATAAAGGACTATTTCTAAGTGTTTAATTACCTTTAAAATGGGCGTTAGATATCATTTAGATTTTAAAGGAAGGCAAAAAGTTTCAAAAATTGTTGTTTATCATTTACGCCTTAACGGTAAAGTGTTCATAAAATTAAAAGTTTAGCCAACTTTTTATATTTTTAATTTAATCATACCCCAGCCCTCCCCAACCCTTATTCTACTCCAATATATTTACAAAGTGTCAGGGTGTAAGGACCGGTCTATGATGCTTCTAAACCTTTTTCCACTTTCTGATTTTTATGATAATATGCCTTTAGTGCTCACCCATCATTTATTCTTACAATGAGAGTCAAAATACACTAGACTCTGCTTACACCACAGACCCATGTGAGACCCGTGAAACTATGGAATACAAAGACAAAAAATAATCAACCTTAATGTGTATTTAATGTTGTTAAATAACACAAACTAGACTTTTAAGCCACTTCGCGCCCCCTTTCCTGTACTTTTAGATTTTAACTGTTGCTCTGAAAGTCTGCCATTTTAAATGATTTTCAAATTTTGGCGGATTTTTCTTTTCAAATTGGCGCAAAAATAAATTCCAACTATTTGCCAGGATTTTTTTTCTCCAATTTTGATGTCAGGTCCCAGACAAAATTCGGACCTGATCCCGCTGTTTCGACGTTTGTTGGATATAAACAAACACCAAGACACCCAAGCAAAGTATATTTATAATATATAGTCTTCCTAATCCTCAGCATATTTTAGGTTCCATTATATATACAGCTAGCATTTGTGGACAAACTAAATTTGTTTGATGTTCATAACATTCTGTTATTAAAATCAAACAAAATATTCTGCATGTTAAATCCTCACAATTGTATGAAATTGCACGTATTTTAAGATTTTTTATCATCTTTATGTGAGGATGGGGGGGGGGGGGGTGTAGATTATTCATCCGTTAAACCACATCTTTAAATCTTTAATCATTTTTTATTGCAGAAATGCGAGACAAAGTACAACACCAAGTGTCACAAAGAATTTGATGTGATTTACGACACAAAATATCGACCAGAGTGTCACACCGAGTACATAGAGCACTGTTACACCGTGTATAGTACAAAATTTAATCAGCAATGTACTGATGTTTACGATACAAAATGCCATACCTCGTACACAACTAATTACGAGACCAAATATGATAAAAAATGTCGAGTAGAACATGAAGAAAACTGCCATGGATATGGATATCATAAAAAGTGCAATATTTATCCTAAAGAATATTGCCATGAAGTGCCTATCCAGGTGCCAGTGAAAGTACCACATAAAGAATGTCACGACGTGCCTAAAAAGCACTGCAAATACGTTCAGGAAAAAGTGCCACATCAGAAGTGTGAAAAGCATCCCAAGAAAGAGTGCCATGATGTGTCGTATAAAGTGCCGAGACAAGTTCCACGTAAAGCGTGTCAAGAAGTTCCTTATGAGCACTGTATAAAAGTGCCCCACCAAGTAGCTAAGCAAGTCCCTAAGCAGAAAGCTCACGAAGTTTGTGAAGAATCCTATCATGGAGGTCATGAAGGCTATGGAGGTCACGGCGGTCATGGTGGTCATGGTGGTCATGGATACGGGCACCAGGGTTATGGAGGAGGATGGTGATAAGCGACTTTATATAGTGAAAACCAGAAAGTTTAGTGCAGGGTTTATCTATTGTTGGCCATTTTTGTTCAATTGGCATTAATAATAGACACCCTGTACTCTCGACGATGTGCAATAATCAATGAAATCCAAATATCTTAACACATACTTTTATTTAAAGATTACATTAACAATCGAATTTTGTCAGGGCTTCTTTTGATTTTTTTTGTAAAACATACCCAATTATGCTTGTTAATTTCTGAGTATGAGAACAATATATATTTCATAATTTCAGTGACGTTATGCTTTTATTATAAAATAACCTGTCAAAGTAATTCTAAGTAACACCCCTAAAAAAGCTTTTGGGCTGATTCACAATGATATTTTTTCATCTTTACATGAGCAACAATAAGATATTGATATAGTTGTTTGTTCTCTTTTAAAACTATTTAAATTTTCTCAATTTCTTTCATTATCTCTACTTCATAAACCTGCAATGATACGTTTATAGAGACTACAATTGAAAACTATAAACCTTCAATCAGAAAAAAATAAATTTGTCATTTTTGTTATGGCATAGAATCAAAAGGTGCCACTGTTTAAATAGGGTATCACTTGAAATTACGTGTACAGATCCTTAACTAACATAAATTTTATTTTGTTCTTATTTTTGTATCCCAACATTTTATATTTACAAAGCTTTTAACTTGTCTTTTTCTTTATCTTTATTTTTCAATTATCTCCGAGTTACAGGTTTTTCATTTCAGACTTTTATAAAATCATTTTTGTATAGCTGCTTGAATATACAGAGCTCTTATCAAATATTTGGCTTTGGTAATATCAGAGTCGTCTTTTGTCGACGCGGCAGTAATTTAATAATCTTACAAAGGAGCTGATTACTTGCCTCAGATTTAATTCTTAAACAGACGTCCAAGTCTAGGTCTATATTAAGTAAAATAGATATACATAGTTTGAAAAAATGCATGTTTACGCCATCAGGTTGCTAAGATTAGAGCAAACAATAACCCGCGGTTTTTCTATTGCCTTTAAATCACGAAAATGCATTTTTAACAAAATTACAATTTTCCTGTTTTTTGAAGCGCCCTGTCTGTACTCATTAAACTTAACTAGTTGTAATTGGCATTATTGCTGTCTTCCGGTTCTTCCGGTTCTCCGGTTCTTCCGGTTCAGCCTTTAAACTCTGTTTTGATTATCTATATTTGATATAAACTGCATGGCAGCAGATGTTTCCAGTTATCAAAGATCTGTGCAATACACTTGCTTAACTGACATCTTAATTTATCTGACTTTTAGTTTGAGTTGCAGAGTTGTTACGCAAATTATGACGCAAAACTAGATTATTTCTTGCTTTGATGTTATTTTCAGAGCTTTTGCCCTTGGTTCTAAATTATGAAACGAATTTTTAGAGCATCCCGCGATGTTCACATTTTCTGTTTCTAATTTTAAAACAATTCATAATTCAAAAAAAAAAAAAACTTGATATTGCGAACCAAATGTTCTAACGTTGTGTGAAGATGACGAAAGCCAATATTTATTACCTTGGAACCAGGGGCGGATACAGGATTTAAGTGAAGGGTGTGCTATATTTATTTCGGAAAAAAATCGCAATTAAGAAACCAAAATACGCGCCGCAGGGTAAAATTTTTTTAAAGATTGATATTTTTTGTTGTTTTGCACTAGGGTTTCTTTCCCTTAAGTGCTATTGAGAAGCTATTCTGAAATATCAGGGGGGGCTACGCCCCCCAGGAATTCGTAAGGGGGTGCAAAGGTAATGCCGCCCCCCCTGTATCCGCCCCTGCTTTGAACATTGCCCATTGTAAGTCTACTTGATTTCAAGAACTCATGTTTTAGTTTTAATTACTATTATTTTTAAACCATTATTTAAATACTAACATCAAAGATTTGTGCAATAAATACTTTTATCTAATCTTAATGTATTTTTAATACATTGTGTTAAATAAATTCTTCTACTATACGTTATATACCTATATATCATACTTATACCCTTAGATGGATACCTATCAATCTATCTATTTATCCATCTACAGTTTTGCCTAGGTCAGCACTGATCCTAGACCTTCTAGACTGCATGCTCTCTGCACTTGGTATGCGTGGGCGCTCTGAAATCACCACAGATTTGTCTTAACAGGAATTTATAATACATTATAAATAATATGTTGGTGATGAACCAAACCTCTGTATAGAGTAAAAAAAAAGTAGATGTTAGTTCCACATTTATTAAAAATGTATTTCGGTCTGGGTTGACCCTCGTCAGCTGTAAAAAAGATTACAAACAACACATTGAAGGGAGGAAGGCCAAGCGGCCATGAATGCTTTATTAGTCAACTTCCTATCTTACTGATACAGTATCTACGGTTGGGGTATTTAATCAAGAAATAGGAAGAATAAAGAAGAAAAAATAAAAAGAAGTAAATTTAAGAAAGAGCCAACGTGGCTAATGCTAATCTGGCTTCAACCCACTCTACTTAGCGATCGGAGCCCTTTCCAGAAGGGCCCTGTTCCGCAGCTAATTAAAAGACACACTCCCCATGTTTGAAAGCGATGGGACAGCATGCTTAGCTAGTTAATCTTCTTTAAACAAATTTCTTCACGTGGGAATACATTCAACAAATCTGGAAAAAATTGTAAAAAAAACGTATTTATCTACCTAATAATATATAGCACTTACATAAATTTAAATACTTTTTTACACTTAATCGATCTAATACGTAACATATACCTACCTATAAATACCCTAAATATAAGTAATCAAGGTTTTTTCTGTTTGCATGAGAATTTAGTATTTTCATGTAGACAAAAATTGTGTGTCATTCTTGTACTGTAAACCGCTAGAATCAGTGTATACTACAGTCTGCTCCTATACAAGTGGTATTATATAATATATAAATCATCCTTCCTTCCTATTTATATAATACTTATATCCATCTATATAAATCTAAAGAAGTATTATAAGGAATGATTCGAATGTTTTTATTAATTTTATCATAAATGTATAATAAGTAGCCATGATGTTGCCACCTTTGAACATTTGTCTATATGAGAAAAATACTCAAAAGTTCATAGTGGATATAGGAGATATTTGTAAAACTTGATTTTCCTTTTAGGCCCAAGAAATATTTTAACTCAACTTGAATCTGTTTTTGTACCATCATAGATAAACATCATGCGGCATATACTTCTTTTAAAATCAAGTTCAGTACCCCCTAAGACCCTGTTTTTGACCACTGTGTACAGAATTTATCTTTTTTTCTTTTCACTGCTACCGTGAACTTTTTTTTCAAATCGTTATAGAAGCCATAAATATACATATATTTAAGGCAGAATCTTTACTTTAACCTTGGAACCACCATAGGTCGTCTTTACAGTCTCATCCTTTTGTAAGTAACCAAGTATACAATAAAAATTAAAGCTTCAGGTCGTCTTTACAGTCTCATCCTTTGTAAGTAACCAAGTATACAATAAAAATTAAAACTTCAGGTCGTCTTTACAGTCTCATCCTTTCTAAGTAACCAAGTATACAATAAAAATTAAAACTTCAGGTCGTCTTTACAGTCTCATCCTTTGTAAGTAACCAAGTATACAATAAAAATTAAAGTTTCATGTCGTCTTTACAGTCTCATCCTTTTGTAAGTAACCCGGGATACAATAAAAATTTAAGTTTCAAGTCGTCTTTACAGTATCATCTTTTGTAAGTAACCCAGTATACAATAAAGTTTAAAGTTTCATGTCGTCTTTACAGTCTCATCCTTTGTAAGTAACCCAGTATACAATTAAGTTTAATGTTTCAGGTCGTCTTTACAGTCTCATCCTTTGTAAGTAACCAAGTATACAATAAAGATTAAAGTTTCAGGTCGTCTTTACAGTCTCATCATTTGTAAGTAACCCGGTAAACAATAATGATTAAAGTTTCAGGTCGTCTTTACAGTCTCATCCTTTGTAAGTAACCCTATATATTCCAGAAATATACATATTCTAAAGATTTGATTACAATGGGTAAATTAACTTACCTTACCGGAGTAAATTCCTAGTTACAACCCTACGAAAAAGAGACGGTGTTTGATTAAAACTAATTTTGGATTACCAAAGATTCCAAGGTTTAAAAACCAAAGAAATAATTGTGTCTGAAACTAAAATTTGAAACGATATTTTGATGTTATTTTGATGTTTTGAAAGTTTGATTGAGACTAGGGAGCTGTCCCTTTATATGGGCACTAGAATATAGCAATCTGATTTTCTTAATACATGGCCAGTTTCCCTCATTAACTCTTCCCTCCCCCTGCCTCCTTACCCCATTATCAACTCCCTTTCTCCACTCATCCTTCCCCCACCTGCCTCCTTACCCAATATATAAACATTACTTGTCTCTGTCTGTCTGTTTTTTGTCTCAAGTAAACATCAAAACGGCTCCAAATTTTTTGTGTGACCTCGCATGACTCCAGGGAAGGTTTATGGATGCTCAAAATTAAAAAGTTGTCTCAAAAAATGTTAATCGTCGGAAAAATTTGAAAATCCAAAAAAAAATTGTAATTTAAAAAAATGTTATTATTGTTTTGTCGATGAGAAAATGGTAAAGGATTCAGCATTAATTGAAAGTGGAAATATAAGATGGGCCCGAATATAAGATGGGCGCGAATCACCCTGATAACCAAGTATTTTCCTACAATAGCCTACAATAAATAATTTGCAGCATTCATTCGTAAAATTGATTTTAAAAGTAAAATTCCAAAATACCTTAGTCCAGAGATTTCAAAAATGTGGTCCGCCTTTTCGTGCTTTCAAAATTACCAGAGATTTAAAGAATTTAGATCAGATTTCGACCATTTTGTTTTGATTTAATTTAATAAAATAATGATGAAAACTTCTAAACTAATTTAATTCAAATATGTGTTTAATTGAATTTTATAGTAAGATTTATTTACCAAGGCTTAAAACCTTCCTGTATAGTGTATACAATGGCTAGGAAGGGATTAAACTCTAGATTTATAGATACAGTCATTCCCTGAAAACAATAAAAACAGTCCAATATCCACCAAAAAATTAACTCTTTATTACGACCCGGAGTTCTGTAATTATCATAAATTCAAAAACTAAAATGGAAGCTATTTCGACAAATAATAAATAAATATTTGTTGAAAATTGATTATGAGAATATAAGATACATATATCTGATCTGTGTTGTATATAAACTAATAATTCCAAATATTCTTTCCAATTATACCTACATCAGCAGTTATTACTGATAAATATTGTTTTATTTTTGTTAAAACCATTTTACATTTTCCGTGAAGATATCAGTTATTTCTTTGTAAAAATCAATCAAAATACGTGATTGTAAACCAGGGTTACTTACAAAGAATGATCCTGCAAAGACGACTGTACGGTTTCAATATTTTTTCTCTAATTTATGGGTTGTTGGAGCTGTTGTTGCTAAAAGGTTGCTCACAACGGATGAACGATTGCCCACAAGAATTTCAACAATTGCCCACAACAATTTCAACGATCGCCACCAACAATTTCAACGATTGCCCACAACAATTTCTCGTCCAAACCACATTTTCTCGTCGGAGCCACCTCGAAATCCTCGTCCTTCGATTAATATGTGTTTTACAGTTTATAACTCTTGAAGATAATTTTTTTAAAATCTGGCCACGTTAGGGCATAGATAGACTAAAGTATTGCAAATTTGCAATACTTAAAATCATGTTTGAATCTTTAGAGACATGAGAATGATGTCAAACTTTATTTAGGTAAAACTTAAATCTCTTCTGCCTCCGTAAAGACTAATCTTTGCGATATAAAATAAATAGCTAAATATTTGGCATACTTCTGCCTATCATTTTCACCATGGAAACACCCACAATTTTTTATTGATTTTCACTATAATTAACAAAAAAGATTATAGTTCTATAAACTCGGAATTATTTGCGGCATTCTACACCTGAAATATCTGAAAATGCGCGTAAAAAAGTTGAATATTTTTAAAGACATTTTAAACTCGAAAACTTTAATTCAATTGAAACAAAATATTGGAAGGACGAGGATTTTAAGGTGGCTCGGACGAGGAAATAAGGAGAATGTGGCTCGGACGAGGAAATAAGGAGAATGTGGAGAATTTTTGTACAGGCTTTCCTCCCCTCAATGCACCCTAGTCAAATTTAGGGTCTTTAGGGTTTTTGAACTTGATCTATGAAGATATTTATATGGTGTTAATCTATGATGTTAGAGAAACAGGGTCTAGAAAGAAAATATAAGTTTT